CTGTTAGAGGGTACTTGGGGGGTTTAGGGTCAAAGCCTGAACCCTGAACTCTAAACCCCAATCATCCCTGAACCCTGAACTCTAAGCCCTCAACACTGAGCCCTAAACCCGAAACCCTAAACTCGGAGCCCTAAACCCTATAGCTTTAGGGTTTAGGGTCAAAGCTTCAGGGTCTAGAGCCTTAGAGTCTGAGGGCTTTAAGGTTTTAGGATTAAGGCTTTAGGGTTTTAGGGATTCAGGCTTGAGGGCTTTAGGGTTGTAGAGCTTCAAGATTTCTGCGGATTTGGGCTTTTATACTTTAGGCTTTTAGGGTTTCAGGTTTTAGGGTCTGGGGGCTTGGTTTGTGCATATAATGGCTCTTTAAAATCCTGCGTCCTTGTCTTTCGTGGTATGGGTGTGGTGGGAACTTTTTCTACCAACATTCTGAAGACGGCTCTTACTGCAAGTTTCGCCTTGTTCAGACGACAGGGAGAGTCATCCTCAACTAAAACTTGCTCATCAAGAGAAACATTCACAGGACACGACCCCCTAACCCTGAACACCCAAACCCCCAAACTCATCCCAAAGCCCCAAACCCTAACCGCTAAACCCCAAACCCCTAAACCTCAAACCCTCTTCGAAACAAGAGAGGCCCTTAACCCAATGCGCTAGGGTTTAGGGTACCTGTCGTTAAGCAATTCCTGTCTCAAGACGTTTGGGGTTCAGGGCGTAGGGTCTAAACCCTCAGACCCTTAACACCCTTCACCCTTAACCCAATTCCGCAAACCCTACACCCTAACCCCGAAACCCCTTCCTCTGGCGACCCCTTTCTGTTGAAAGTGCAAGCTTCCACGCTTCGAAAAGATCTCCGACGAAGAAGCTCGTCTCACTCCTACGGGTTTAGGGTTCGGGTTTACTTAGACTTAACCGGTCAACCTGCACTTTAAGGATATATGCAATGAAACCGGAATGTACTGGCTTTTCAAGGTTAAGGTAGCGGTTAGATAGAGGACATCCGACACTTGTTTTACGGTTGCCCCGTTTGATAACCCTAAACCCTAAACGCCCTAAACCCTAAACCCACGTAGAAATTAGCAAGGCCCAAAGCCCCAGGTCGTGGATTCGAATCCCTGGAAGCAGGTGCTTGGACCGATGTGCCTCTTCCTTCCTTCCCCGGACCCCGGGGGGAGGATCCAAAAAGTAGATCCCTTAACGGGGGTTCCCTTAAAGTACCCTATGGGTAGTATACGGCCCCAAATTAGGGGATCTACTTTCTAGATCCTCCCTGCGGTCTGGGTCTTGAAGGATCAGGGGGCTTGGAATGTAAAGTCATAAGTACTTGTTGTTTGGGGCTATGAGTAGTCGTAGTTACAACTACCTGGTACAACCCTGCATGATTTTCCCATCCTGGAAGTGTGGCGATAAAGGACAACCCCGATACCAGCTTGGGGTGGGTATAAGACAAACATCAGGGTCCAGAGTCTTGTTAACCTGTGAGTGAAGTCTTCAATGTTGAGGCCACTATGGCCACTCCTCATTCAAGCGCCACCTGGATTACACCGTAATCGCAACACCCTAAACCCCAGCACAACTAGCCTTTAAACCCGAAACCACACAAACCCCGAAACGCCCTATGCCCTATGAAGCCTTGAAGCCGTAGAAAGCTGTAAAGCGCCCTAAAAGCCAAAAGCATGAAGCTCTCAATCCTAAGCAGACTCTGAACGGATTCCCCAGTAGCCCCTTCATAGTAAGAGTGCCAGCCCTTCTTTCGGTTCTAGCATAACGTAGGGGCCGTAATAACTATAAAAAGGGTTTCAGGACCCTCCAAAGTATAACTATAATAAGGAACCCTATTTGGGCTCTACAACAATGGAGACCCTTAACCCTAAACCCCTAAACCCCTAAACCCTTAACCCCTAAACCCTAAACCACTAAACCCTAACACCCTAAACCCTAACACCCTACACCGTCAGCAAACCCCAAACCCTAAAAACAAAAAAGGGAAGATGAGGCCCACCTGGAAACCTAATATAGGGGTCTTAATATTTACCTATACTATTTTGGGGGCTTCCTTATGGTAAGTATAGCTTAATGGGCCCCAAAACTCTGTTCTAATTATTAAGGCCCCTATCTTATAGTACCCTTATAGATCCCTTGTAGTAACCCTTATCGGCCCCTTTAAAGGAACCCTATTGACATTGAATAAGGCCCCTATATTAGCCACCGGGGTCTCCTCGAGAGTGCGATCTCTCGCTGATCCTCACCTTCTTGAACCTTGCTTTTAGGGTTTAGGGTTTAGGGTTTAGGGTTAGAGTGTGAATCTTGAAGGTTACCCTAAGGGTCCAAAGGACCCAGTAAAAAGGTACTCGGTTTTAGGATAGTAGTTATGTAGGTTAGGGTGTTGGAGAGTATAAGATTATTTCGTACTTGGACCATTGGGGTAAGGCTCTAACAACTCATGGTTGAAGGGTTTTGGGCCTAAAGACCATGTCATACAAGGCTTTGAGTGTTCTATACGGGTTTCGGGCTTAAGTGTCCATGTACCCCAATAATACTTTTTGGAACCTTGCTTTTGATGTTGAGGGTATACCTGGGTGTAGGATTACAGGCTTAGGGGTATACCTTGAACTCTGAGGACTTAGATATGGGAATCATATATGGGAGTTTCCGAAAATTGGGGGTACCTTGTTCTGGGGTCCTTACAATAAGGATCCTACTGTTTGGGGTACTATACTACGGTCCCCTATTTTCGGAAACTCCCATATGGAAGCATGAAAGGGCCTGAGGTATAGGCATCCGGCTTCTGGGCAAAGAAGGCTCAGCAAAGCACTGCGGCTCTTTGGGCTAAACCCTACCTCAGCCAACCAAAACCGACTTTTTTGTCGGGTCCCTATGAATTCCATATTCGGGTTTATAATGGGAACCTATTTGCTAGTTAAGGGTAACCTCTAGAAACCTGAATCCTTAACCCACCAAAGACTTTGAGCCCAAAAAGGTTGCAGATACGAGCCCTTAGTGCTTGACAACAGGGTTCAGGCTCTTGCCCAGAGTACTTGGAGGGTCGCGGGACTTAGTAACTGGTTATTTTGGGGACTTATAAGTACCATAACCCCAATTAGGGTCCCTTTTAGGGTACTTATAAGTCTACTTACTAACTACTTACTAAGTCCCCCGACCCCCCAAGTAACTCCCCCGATCCTCCAAGTACTGACCCGAAGCCGAGACGCCGAGACTGGCTTCCCAGACCCCGGGAGGATCTAGAAAGTAGATCCCCTAATTTGGGGCCCTATACTACTAAGGGTACTTAATAGGAACCCCCATTAAGGGATCTACTTTTTGGATCCTCCCGGGGGTCTGGGTTCTGAAGGAAAGTGTTAATATAGGGACGTTAATAAGTAGAAAAGGGCTTTGGGCGTTTTGGGGTATGTGATACTACAATTACAAGAAGGAACCCCCACAATAGTATAGGTAATTATTGAGGCCCCCATGTTAGAAGCCCTTTTTCTGTTCACTATACTGAACTTGGTACCCTTGCCTTAGATTTTTCTGTTTCTTCGGAACTATGGTAACCAAACATTAAACGGGAGTATAGTAGCAACAAAAACATTGAAAACTACCGCCTAAGTAGAGGAGGAACCCTTCAAGGAGCCGTTGAAGAGATAGGGTGTGGGACTCCCTCATATGTTCCTGAGAGAAGCCCCAATTGCTCAAAGCTCTTTTGGCTTCCTATGGCCACGAGCCCTACACCCTGAACACCTTCCACAAAAATCGGCAATCCTTATTCGCAAACAAGAATCTAAACACCAAAAGCCCAGTGACGCCCCTAAAGCCTGAACCCTAAACCTCAAACTGCGGTGGAGCTGCGTGGAACATGTAAAGCCTTGTTAGGCCTTGGCCAGCTCGGGGATTGAGGGTTTAGGGTTTTAAGTATATGAGGTTTAGGGTTTAGGGGTTTTGAGTTTTTGAGGTTTAGGGTTTAAGGTTTGCCATACTCCTCCAAACTGGGGCTTCAGGGTTCTGAGGATATGAGGTTTAGGTTGCGCCCTACTCGTCCAAGTACCGAGCAATCATATCCTCTCAGAAATATTCACTCAGTTTAACTACCATTCTTTTTTCTGAACCCAAGTACCTTACTGCTGGGTCCTTTGGACCCCAAGGAGTTTGTGGGGCTTAGAGATTGGGGTCTAGGAGTCTCGGGCTGTGCCTTGGAAAGGGCTTTAAGGCTTTTGGAGTTTAGGGCTTCAGGGCTTCCGGCTTTCAGGTTTAGGGTTTAGGGTTTAGGGTTTAGGGCTTAGGGTTTAGGGTTTAGGGTTTAGGGGGAGGGTTTAGGGTTTAGGGTTTAGGGTTTAGGGGGAGGGTTTAGGGTTTAGGGTTTAGGGTGTTAGGGTTTAGGGTTTAGGGGGAGGGTTTAGGGTTTAGGGTTTAGGGGGAGGGTTTAGGGTTTAGGGTTTAGGGTTTTCTTGTAGGGCTTCAGTGGCTGCAGGCTATACAGTTCAGTCTGCATGCAGGCCTCAACTATGCAACCTTGCTGCCGGCCCAAATCCCAAGAACAAGTCTGTAATTATACATATATTTTCTATAAACAGATAAGTAAATTTATGCATGTATATATATATATATAATGTATAGATATATATGTATATAACATATATATATATATATATGAATCCCAGAGGTGCCTCAACCGATACGATTGTGCGCCTGCAACACTCCGATGCGACTTCCGCGACGATAAGCAAAGCAACACTGCAACTGGAGGAGCCAGGTCTCATCTGGTAGCTTGTCGAAGCAAGACCCTAAACCCAAACCCCCAAACCCATATTCACGAACCTCTAAACCCTAAACCCCTAACCTCTTGAGCCTCAAGCTCCCAAAACGCTAAGCCCTGATCCCGTGACTCATCCGGGCCCACACACAAAGCCTGCAACCTAACCCAACAAGTCTGAGGCCTATCACACCTAAACCACAAACACTTACAGATCCCTTCTGGGAATCCGTAGACAGCCCCTGCAAAGGAGCCCTCAGAAGGATGGCGATTCACATGCCTCTGTACCGAGTTCATCCGGGCTGCTGCTGAAGGCCATGCTACCGTAGACGGCTGGCAAAGCTAAGACCTTGCTGAAGGTGTTTATAAAGGGTTTGACAAACCTGTACAAAGGCGTGGTGTCCAAGGCAAAGGATCTGGGGTTTAAAGCTTCAGACTTTAGAAGGGATCAAGGAACTTGCAAGTAGGCCCTCGGCCTAGAACCCTGAATATATCGGGCTGGTATGTTGTCCTCATTTTCAACCCGACCCTCCCAAGTACAATGTGTGGATCTGTAGTTTCGAGGTTACAAGCAAAGTCGGTCAAACCCCACCTTCCGCCACCATGACCTACTACAGGGGCCTTAATTTACCTCTAATACTTTGGGGGTTCCTCATTATAATTTTAGCATAATATGTCCCAAAACCCTATTCGTCAGCTCTAGGCATTGGCCGGCACGCCCCAGTAATGCCTGCGCCTTGCTCGCTAAAGCAGGGTTCTGGGATACATTGCAACATAATATCGGGGCCTAAATAATTACCAATACTATTTTGGGGATTCCTTGTTATCATTATGAAGTAGAATGGCCCCCAACACCCGATTCTAATTATTCAGGCCCTTGTTTTCGTTTCTCAATGAGGAACTCCAAACTCGGATTTTGTGTCTGCATGGGGCTCCAGTGGCCACACGGGCGCTTCCGAAAGGACCAGTTTCACTAAATATAGGGTTTAGGGTTTAGGGTTTTGGGGTTTAGGGTTTAGGGTACAGTAAAGCTGAAAAAGCAGGAAACCGGATCAATTAGTGCTGGCTTTCCCTGTACAGTAGTCTTAAGGACCGAGGCTATTGGGTTTCCAACTTGTGGGCTTCTAGTGTATGTTGCCCAGAAGCTCCACGTATACTATCATTATGGAACTCGGTCCCTGAGACCATAGTAAGAGTGGTCTTGTGGGACCAAATTCCATAATGGTGGTATATATGAAGCCTCAAGGTGAGGGCAACTCATAACTCGGAGGTGTGCTTTTAAAGCCTTAGCAAAATATTGGTAGGTAAGATCCTGTCCAGCCCAATAACAGGCAATATAACATGTCTAAACCCTAAACCCCAAATCCTAAACCCTAAACTCAAAGCCCCTAATCTATGTACCCCTTAGAACCATAATAAAGATGTCCCAGAAGCCTACCTCGACAACTCCATGGCTGTGGCTTGGATGATGGTCTGAAACCTCGAAGATGCCTCAAAGGAGCGCAGCAAAGAAGACCCCAATGACCCGGTTTAGGGTTTAGGGTTTAGGGTTTGCCACGGTTTAGGTTTAGGGTTTAGGGTTTAGGGTTTAGGGTTTAGGGTTTAGGAGTAAGATTTTGACACGTCAATACTGGGCGGGAGATTTTAGTAGAGACATATTAGCGAATAAGATGTTGAAGCAATTTCCCCAATTGTCCAAGTACCCAATATTCATATACTCTCCAAAATCCTAAACTATTTAACTACTATTATCCTAAAGCCGAGTATCTAATCATTGGGTCCTTTGGACCCTTGGTGATAGTTCATTGTGCATTACAGCTAGTGGACCTAACTAGCAACTCTAAGGGCCATGAGTCCGAATTATTCAGCCCTCCATGTTAGACCATGTCCCCCCCACCTGAATGACCTGATCGTGGAAGGAGGCAGCGTCTCCTGCCATCGACCAGCTGGGCTCTTAAGGAATTCCCTTCCACCTAGCATGACAAGGGTTTGGGGAACGTTAGTCTATGTTATCATAGAAAGGAGGCCATGTGATTGACAGTAGAACCCTGTTCTGGAACATATAAGCAAGCGCTACGAGCCCGGTGTCATACAGGATCCAGGCCTTGGGGTTTAGGGCGTCGGGGTCATACTGACTTCAGGGCATCAAGTCGTGGACATACTTATTAGCTCGGTACATATAAAGCAAAGTCTTCCTTAAATCAATAGGTTTTCATGATTCTTTAAATCATATAAACCCCAAAATCCAAAGCCCTAAACCCTAAACCTTGCTATGAGTTACGGGTAGAGTCTGCAGATTGGAACGGGGGTTTGGGGATGGCTGCTGCTTCCCTGCAGGTGCTAAACTCGGCGGTTTAGGAGTTAGGGCTTTGGGGTTTATGGATTTAGGGTTTAGGAGTTAAGGGTTTAGGGATTTGAGTTTAGGGATTTCGGGTTTAGGGTTTGGGGTTTAGGAGTTTGGCGTTCAGGCACGAGTCCCATAAGATCAAAAGCATACATGGGCTAAGCACAACCAAACGTTATGACGACAGCTCTTCTAGCTTACCTAGGTTAGGCCGTAAAGCCTATGAACATATTCTAGGATACCCAGTAACCTGAGAATAAAAAGGCCTCTCTTTTTGGTATTGGGTAACTTTATAAGGAACCTAGGACTACAACAAGGGAATAAGGGTACTACTGGGCATCCTAGTATTCGTAAAGAAACCCCACTTCAGCCCAAGCATGATAGGGCAAATACAAAATTTCCAAAGTCTGCAAGACCAACCGCGACTTGCTAAGCACCCCAAACGGTATTCTACCATGATGGGGCCCCATTCCCTGAACTCCCAAACCCTACGAGGACCCGCCAAGTACCCCTTAAAGGACTCTGGTATCCCCCATTAAGTGCCAATCAGGGGCTACAATAACGGGTAGTTGGGGGGATCTAGGTAATCCCTAAACCCCAAACCCTCAACCCTGCGCCCTGAACCCCTAAACCCCCAGACCCTAAAAACTCTAGGTACTCCCTAAACGCCACACCCCCAAACTCCAAACCCTAAAAACCTGCAGGTCCCTAAACCCCAAACCCTAAAAACTCAGGTAATCCCTATACCCTGAAAGTGGGATGTCGCCAATCCCGCCCAGCAGCCTGAACGGACCTTGAACAGGTGCAGGCCGGTCTGGCTGAAGCACATCTGCAGCGCCAGGGACTCTTACTTAAGGAATACCTAGGGTTTTGCTATTTTAAGGGATCTATAAATAGCAGAGCCAAAGACTGTTACTTAAGGAATACCTAAGGTTCTTAGTTTAAGGGATCTATAAATACTTAATTATGGGATGGCGGAGTAGACTCTTACTTAAGGAATACCTAGGGTTCCTTTAAGGCATCTATAAATATACTTAAGGAGTACCTAGGGTTCTCATTTTAAGGGATCTAGAAATACCTAATTATGGGATAGTGGAGTATCTGCAGAGGGCTTTGGCTGTAATGCAAGGGCGATGATAATTAGAATAGGGTTCCTTTGGGGGGGGTCTCTAAGGGCTACTAAAAGGGCTATTATGGGAATTAAGCATAGGTGCCTTAATGCTTCGAACAGGGTTTTGGGGCCCATTACCTAGAGGCTCCAAATATAGTACCATTATGGAATTAGGTCCCCAATGCCATGATATGGATGGTCTTTGGGACCTCATTCCATAATGGTACTATATTTGGAGCCTCTGGGTTATACTGTAGTGATAACAAGGACCCCCCCCCCCCCAAATAGTGTAGGTAATTATTTAGGCCCAGGCCCAGGCGATCCAGGTTTTGTTTACAACGACCAGTAACCTAGGAAAAAGGGCTGCCTCTTTGGTATTGGGTAACTTTATAAGGCACCTAGGACTACAAAAAGGGAATGAGGGTACTACTGGGCATCCTAGTTTAGGGTTGAGAGTTTAGTGTTTGAGGGTTTAGCGACTTGAATAGCCGCCCGCGGATATTGACGTTATCACCCCTACGACACCATCAAGCTAAAATGCCTCCAATCCTTCGAAATCTACGCAACATAAGCACCTTAATGATCAGAGTAGGGCTTTGGGATGCCTTATACCATCGTTTAAACCATTGGTAGAGTTTTCAAGCCTCCATATCACCAAGGGCCCTCATCCTTTCAGAAGGTCTAGGTACGACCTGCCCCAGTGCGTCCCCCGTAAAGCCTTCACGAACCCACTGCACCTCTGCCCAATCCATAACCACTGAATCTAAACTGTGAACCTTACACCCTGCATCCTAAAACCTTCAACTGCAACTCTTTGACTTAAACCCCTAAATCATGAAATCAAGGCCTTCCACCGCAACCCCAACCCCTAAACCCTGAAGCCCTAAAATCCTAAACCCTTACACCTTGGACCTCACAGGTTATTTTGGTTGTTCCTTTGCAAGGCGCGAATTTCGTAAATCAGGGGTACCCTTTTCATGATCCTAAAATTGGGATTATTTTTTCAGTTGATATCCACTTTCCCGCTTAGGGAGTGCCGAGCATTAAGAATTCTACTGCTTAGGGTTAGGGCTTCGGGGTTTGGGTTTCAGGGTTGGGTTACTGAAACTCCGCGATCAACGGCCAACAATTGGTGCTTAAATAGCTGGGGGTCGGACCATCAGCGTGATGAACAGCACGGTCGGTGCCGCCAGAATCCTTGGGCTCGGATTCAGGTAAGGGTTCAGGCTTAAAGATTTAAGGGTTCGGGGATCTGAGGTTTAGGGTTCAGTGGTTGCGGTTTATGGTGCCGGTCGTTAGGACTTGGAGTTTGAAGGTTTAGACGGGCAGGTAGGGAATTGGGGGTTTCAGCACCTAAACACCAAGCCCAACAGAACTTAACCCTAAAGCCTTGCAAAGCCAAAAACAGCTCCCCTTTTGCCACGACCCAGACCCATCGTAAACGTTCCTCGGATTAAGGGACCCCTCGGATACAGACCCTCCCTTTTTGGGTCCCTGATATAATACGGCACCTACTATTTAGAGCACCTCAAAAAGGACCCTAAGTTTGGCAACTACCCTTTTACATAACAGAGCCAGAAGTAGGGCGAAAAAGTGTCCCCTTTAAGGGGTCTCCCTATCTTCGCTACATTGGTGTCCAAGGCACAGCGGTCGAAGCCACCGAGGAAGCCCCGACCACGACGTCTCGCGATAGTTCAGGAGTTTAGGCTTTCTCAGGGAATTTCGGGCTTGGGATATTGCTTGGGATATTAGGTTAAAACATAAAGGGCTTAGGGTTCAAGGTTTCAGTTTGTTCATTTTCGGTTCAATGGTTCTGGGCCGTTGTTCTTTCCCTCTGACCGTTAATCTTGGGACAGGACCAGGCAAGGCGTCTGGCCTTAGAGTACTCCCTATAAGTACATTGGGCCAGAGTATATAAACTATTTGGGTACATGGACCATTAGGGTTCGGCATCTTCGTGAGCTGAGCAGCTATTTTGAGCCTGAGCGGACAAACCCTGCGAAGTCCAAACACTCCAAACCCTCGGTTCTTATATCAAAGGGGAAAAGGAGGGGCCCTTAATGGGGACCCCTACCCTATAATGGGCTATATACTGGGTATACAATAGCTATTTTAAGGGTATATACCTAGGGGTCCTTATTAAGGGTCCCTCCTTTTCCCCTTTGATTACAGTTAAACTGTAGTTTATGATGCTCTTTCGCGGCTTAAGGGTGTAGGGTGGGAGGCGATCACAAGGTTTGGAGTACAGATTTCGGGAAATGCATCCCACCTTTCCGTCTGGAGCCATTGCAGTCGTCACGAAGAGGCTTGTGTCGTAGATGAACAGTATGGCAAGCAGTCCATACAAAACCTGGCCGCTCAGGGATTCACAGCACAACAGAACTCCAAACATAAATCCGCAAATCAGCTTCTGTGAACGTTTAGACCGGGACCTGCAGCGAAAGAGAATGGGCTACCAGAGTGCTTGCAGGGCTTTCAGTGGTCACAATCAAGTAAATCTAAGTGAGTGTCTGCATGGTTCCACTCTAGTTGGAGCACCGTAACCCTAAACCCTGCGTGCTCAAACACTCTCAGCTTTTCTCAACACCCAACTGCTTCCAGCATGGCGCATGGAACTGAGTGAAATGCCTGCTTTTAGGGTTTAGGGGTTTAGGTTGTAGGGTTGAGGGCTTAGGGTTTAGCTGTTTAGGGTTCAGGGTTTAGGGTTTAGCGTTTAGGGTTTGGGGTTTTGGCTTTAACAAAGTTTGTATTTGGGATCTTCTCAAGATAACCCACACAAGGAACTACGGCGGAGAGCACAGGTATCCCATCCGATCACCAACCTGCTCTCTGAGAAGGTTTATACTTAGAGGCCCAGGGGAGTTAGTAAGTAGGTTATAAGTAGAGTTATAAGTAATCTAAATGGAGCTACCCCAGTTATAACCCTACGTATAACCGACTTATTAAGTCCCCTGGGCCTCCAAGTATTCTTCATACGGAGCAGGTAGAATGAGGAAGCATAGACTTCGATGCTCCCAAACCTTAATTACACCCTCGCCGCTTCAATTTAAATCTAGGCGTCGTAAACCGTAAGCCCTAATTTCAGAAGCATGGCAACAACCCACAGACTCCAAAACCCTTTAATTGAGGAATGCATCTTAAATCCTATTAGATCTTGTTGGGGCGCCTAATTTTTTTTGCTTTCTTCCTGAAGTCAGAGGTTCCGGAGTTTCCTGGGAAGCTTGAACCCCCAAACCCCACCAAATTGCCCCCCTTATTGAACCCAACAAGGAATGCCCCAAACCCTAAACCCTACACTCCAAACCCCTAAACCCCAAACCCTAAACCCTTTGCCGAGCGTCGATGGTGTAGTTTGCCTGCTGTAGTCGGTCCGTCAAGAAGGCGAAGGGGAAGAAGAATCGCCAGACCAGGAGAACCAGTAGGCTCCTGGTTTAGGGTTAATTGCGTTTAGGGTTTATGGGTTTAGGGTTTTGGGTTTAGGCTTTAGGGCTTTGGGTTCAGGGTTTTGAGTTTGATGCTTGTTTGGCTGGGTTCTCCCTTCAAAGCCTCCGAGAAATGCTCGAAGATAAGATCCTCTTAAGCCCAAAAAGAGAAAACAAAAAATGCCCCAAAGGCTTACCTAGTTCGGGTTTAGGCTCATTCTTGAGAGCGCTTTGGTCTTTTGAAGTTTTAGGGACTGAGGCGTGGAGGGGTTTAGGGCCATTTTGTTCTTTTGACGTTAGGGTATCTGCGCTCGGTACTGTTTTTCCGAAAATTTAAATGCTTCTAAATCCGAAGAGACAGACGGATCCTAGTGATTCGAGGGGGTGGGGGCTGGGACTTCAGGGGCATTTCGGCTTAGGGCGTTGCTCGCTTTTTTGAGGTTTGGGGTCGGGGTTTTGTTTTCAGGGAAACACAGAATCAGAACGGGTTTAAACCCTAAGCTCTGAATCGAGAATCCGCAGTACTTACGTACCTTTCAGGATCTCAGGTGCTTTTTAGGGATTCATGATGGTTTGAGGCTTCATAACATGAACCTATGAGTGTATTGCATAAGGGCTCCTTCCCAGGGTAGAAGCCTACTGTATGACTTTAGGGGCTTCCGGGAGTGAGAGTTTAGCAAGGACGAAGCAACATGGGTTGCCGTGGTGCTGGTCGGTACTTGACCGCATTTGGCTTGTGGGCTGGCGAGTTAGAATTCAGCCGGCCACTTCCTGCATCCGCCTCCTCTGGGCCAGCTGCTATAGGGGACGCAATCATGGGTAAACCCTAAACCGTAAACCCTGGACCCCTAAACCCTAAACCCCTAAACCCTGAACCCTAAACCCCATGTGGTCCCTTAAAGGGTCCCGTTTCGGGTAGAGGGTTTGGCACATCGTATACGAGCCTGAAAGGACCATAAACTGGGTGGTGGGTTTAGGGTTTAGGGTGGGGTCGGTTATGCATCTGTTGCAGGATCCCTTTCAATTGCATCTTGGGGTTTATAATAAGAACCTGCAGAAAAGTAGGGTTTGGTAGTTTAAGGTAGATAGGAGGAGCCATCAGGAATAACATTGGTGATTACTTTGTCAAGCCTCTACATTACCATCCCTTAGAGGCTTAGGGGTCGAGTACCCTAGCCCAAAAAAGGTTAAACTTTTGAGTTATAGTAGCATCATACTGCTCATGGACAAAATCCTGCATGACCCTAAGGACTCTAAACTATGGGAATTATGGTAGATTCCCTTATTAGGGGTAATGCAGGATTTATATCATCAACCGTACCACCCCTTAAAGGCAATTGGTCTTGTCTGAGGCAGGGGCACGAACATGATGAGACCTGTGTCCTTGCTCGGGTTTAGAGTTTAGGTTGGCTTGAAGAAAGGATTTGTTGGAGGCAGTAGGTTTTAGGTGTGCCGCGCTTGCTTGTCTCCATCCTAAATGACAGTTGCTTGTCTCCATCCTAAATGACAGCCACAGCGCACAGATTACGCACATAAGGCGATCCAAATCATTCTGCATGATAGTATTCCTGACGGGCTACATGGCTTGACCCCTTGGTGGCTGTATATAGAGATTTCTTGACCCCTCAACACGGACAAGTGACCAGAACTACTCTGTATCCAAACAGATCTCTGGCTTGTGCAGGCTCTACCTGAACCTTACTCCCCCAATACGCCACAGAAATAGAAGGTTAGACTTTCCGATTCCTACCTAAACTACAAGAGCCCAAGAAGTTTAAAGGTTGGCTCTTGGGGATCTAGGGAGTAGCAGCTGAACAGGAGCTGAAATTCCAGAGACCTAATCTGACGGCCTGTAACAACGCACTTGAGAAAACCGTACCTATAGTAACCCTGAACCTCAAAGCTTTGTCCGTTAAAGTATATCTGAGCCGCAGCTCATACCTCTGCATGACCATAAGGGAAATCACCGAAAATTCCAACATCTCAAGAATCTATTTCGGACTTGGGGAGCAGGGCTCAAGGTTTTGGGGTTTAGGCCTCAAAGCAGGGATCAGGGTTGAGGGTTTACGGGGGATTAGGTGTTGGGATTTCGGGGCTGTGGCGTTGAGGGTGTACCGAACTCCGGGGTTTGCGGAAGTTTACGGCCATCTGAGTGCATCGAAGAGGCCCACATGGCTGCGAGTTTTATGCAGAGAGAGAGTTGCCCAGTTCCTGGGAAGCGATTGTAAGGACCCAAAAAAGGACATAAGAACCACCATCATGCAGGGATAACCCTACCTTAGTGGGCTTCATTATAAGGGGGTTTATATATGGGATATCCCTATCCTAACTTTTGCTTATGTGCTTTTCTGAGGCCCTAAAACCTGAACCCTAAAGTTCCCTGTTATCATTTCCTTATATAAGTCCCCATACTAACTTTTGCTTATGTGCTTTTTGGCGGCCCCAGATTGGGGCGCGTTGCGAGTTGTGCTCGGCGGGCATCGGCTCGGTCGGGTGTCTATGGGAGTTTCCGAAAATTAAGAGTACCTTATTTAGGGGTCCTTATAATAAGGATCCGATTAACAGTTCCTTAAAGGTATCTATAAGGGTTCTATGAGGTTTAGAGTTTCTGAAAATTAAGGGTACCTTATTTAGGGGTCCTTGTAACAAGGATCCTACTATTTAGGGTACTATATTAGGGTCTCCTATGTTCGGAAACTCCCGTATGAAGCCATTGTCAGAATAAGAGCTGCCCGTGAAGGGGGATCCTTATCATAGCTCCCATACCAAAATTAGCTGAATCATCTGTAAAGGTTATACAGTGTTTGTATGTACGGACGTACATTATATAGGCATGTAGGTATGCATGTATGCATGTAGGTTGGTAGGTAGGTAGGCAGGTTGCACGATATCACATTTCACAAGAGTTTAGCATATTGCGACACAACATATCCCAATAGGCTGTACTGTGTGAAAACGCACAAGGCAACACCACACAGTCAAGTCCAAAAGCCAAGCATTCTGCCAAGCTGCAGTATCGGACGAAGCACGGAGTGGTCACCATGCGGAACTGCCGTTTTGAGCCGGCATTCGACAGAGATATCAATGGCTTATCTACAATGATGTATATGCAGAGTCATGCGGACCCCTGTATCGTGGAGCTTCGGCTCAAGCAAAAGGTTCCAGGTTTAAAGAACTGCACACTACAGTTCAGGGGCCTGAACCCCAAACCCCAAAACCCTAAACCGTGCGAATCCCCTAAACCCCAAACCCTGTTAACCTGAACGACGAAAGCGCCTAAAACTTCTGCCCAGGTCCCGAATCTCCAAAACCCTGCTTAAGTGCTTCATAATGACCCGGAGTTTTGAAGAATGAAGAAAGTGCTTCATAATGACCTGGAGTTTTGAAAAATGAAAAAGGGTCCGCAGAACACTAAACCCTCAAACCCTTGCTAAACCTCTGAAACTCCAGACACTAAACTCCCGACCACAACCCACCGAGATAGGCCTGGACCCCATGCCGCTAAACAGAACCCAAAAAGTTTCAAACTGTTACAAAAACCATCGGAGAAGCACAAGACTTGAACCCGAAACCCAAGGAAACAAGAACAACCACGAAAATGCAAACCCCAAACCGCCGACACCTCTCCTCCCCAACATGAAAACACAGTCCAACCCCCTCCCCCCAATGAAAAGCAACAGCAACTTAAGCAAACAAACCTGTGCCACCTTAACTCTCTACACCCTTAACCCTCAAGGCCCTAAACCATAAATCCCTAAACCCCCAAAGCCGTGAACCCCTAAATCACCCCATACATGCTTTTTAAAAAGCAACTTCAAAGTTTCTCTGCCCGGGGCCGGGGCCCCTTCGATGCGCAGAAGCGCAGCCAAGGCACTCTCGTCCAAGGGATGGGGACCTACGGAAAGAAATCCTTTACCTTAAGCCGGAATAACCTACCTTTCTAGGGTTACCTATTGTGATTTCCTTACATAAGTCCTTAAAAAAAAAAGGTTCTTCCGGCTTAAGGTAGGGTTTAGGGTTTAGGGTTTAAGTTTCCTTACGGGTTCCCTTAAGGGGTCTTTGAGGGCTCCTTTAAGGGTTCCTTTAAGGGGTCTTTAAGGGCTCCTTTTCAAGGGGAGGTCTCGGGTTCAGGGTGTAATTAGGGGGTTTTCGGATATCAAAGGCTCCTTCTAAAGGGGTCTTTTGGGCCCAAAGCTATACCCCCCTTAGAACCATAATAAGGCTACTAGGTTGCTAATATTCTCTTGGGTTTTAAATGAACAAAAACTGAAAAAAACCCTAAGGATACTATAGATAGAAGTAGAAGGGTTACTATCAGGGGCTTGAGCTGGTGGCCTCCGGAAGCTGTGTTAAGATGCTCTGTAAGGGTTCCTTTATGGGTGGTTGTCAAAACTAGGGTCCCTTTTTGGGTCCTTATTCTAATACGGGACCTAATAAATAGTTAGGGTACCCAGAAAAGGACAATAATTTTGACAACCACCCTTATGAAGTCTTTAAGGGTGGCTTTCAGGGCTCCTTTAAGGCTTGGGTTTACTAAACCCAAAACCCTAAACCCCCTGCAAAGCCCGTAATAAGGACGAAGAACATCGGCCCGCAGTGCGCCTTTCTTTGACCAACCCCTAAACCCTAAACCATCTGCCAGGAAGCCCTAAACCCTAAACCCAAAGCCCCAAACAAGAACGCAGAACATCGGCCCTCTGTGTGCGCCTTTCTTTGACCAAACCCCCTGCTTGTTCAGAGCCAGGAGCTTTCCCTGACCCGGACGAGGAAGGAAACCTTAAAGGGTTCCTTTAAAGGGTGCCTAAACTCAGGTGGAGTAGGGTATAGGGTTTGGGTTTCCTTTAAGGGTTCCTTTAAAGGGTGCCAAAAAGGGCTCTAAGGTTTAGGGTTTAGGGTTTAGGGAGTTCCTTTATGGGACTTTTTAAGGGTTTAGGGTGAGCTCCTTTAAAGCGCTGAACTCAGGTCTTCTAGAGGAGCTCTATGAGTGTAGGATAAGCATTTGGCGTTGAGGGTTCGGAGTTTCGGGCTTGGGGCTCAGGGCTTAGAGAGTGCAGACATCGAACGGTGAGAAGTTAGGGTTCAAACACCGAGAGACAGATTTCGGCAAAACAGCTGGATCTAGTGAGCAGGCCAAAGCAAAGGCAGATTCGATGGTACGCGCCACTTTAAGCACAAAGTGAAGTGCAAGTCATGATAGCCAAGAGCCAGACATTCGTAAACCAAGTTCCATCGCGGGAACTATCTTTCGCAGACACAGAAAATCGCGACATTAGCCATAACTAGAGTTGCAAGTAGCCCTTGCTATTGCCACTGCTAGCATCACATGCAACAGCAATACCAGCCAAAAAAGAAACGAATGCGAACTGGCAGTAGTGGTAGCAGTTAGTAGCATAACCATATAGTCATGGCAACAGGCAAATTCACGCTACGGGGGGTGGGTCTCGGGGCAGTAGTGTACAAGAGTATCGGCAGTTGCAGGTGCCAAAGGCCAGAGAAGTAGCGATGCGCAACGAAAAGAAACCGCATCATCATCATCATCATCATCATGATCAGCATCATCACCATCAAAACCATCATCGTCATCATCATGATCGTCATCACCGTCATCAGGACCACAAAGAAACTGCTAAACAGAAATGGTGAATTATAAATGATATGAAGAGGCTAGCTGCTGCACGGGCTTTGCAGAGAAACCTAACGATGATGCTAACCATGTCCCTAAACTCTAAACCCTACACAGCCCCTTAGTGCTCGATGTTAGGGCCCATTGAGGGATCTACAAGATAAACCACGAAACCTGAATGCAGATGATATTGGTGCCTTAGAAGCACAGCTTTAAGGCTCAAGTGTTGATGGTTGTAGTTAGTTTCGTGGATCTTGGACTCAAGTTCGAACTTGTGTCGCCCCAGCAAACCGTAGAAAGAAGTGGTTTGAGACTTCGGGAGTTCGGGTAACCAGCATACCCCAGCCTCAAAACAAACCCTGGCAAGCAAACACAAAAACAAGCTTTGAGCAAGCCCTACTACGAAACTCTCGACAACCCACAAAAACTCCTATAAATCCCTGGAGAAAGCCCAAATCCAAAAGCAGGAGCCGCCCAAATGCCTAACTAAACCCCCGAACCCAAACCCCTAAACCCAAAACAGGAGTGGCTCAGACCTGCACCGCCATCCGATCGAACTCCATGTCCTGCGCTTCGACACGATGCTCTCCAGATCTTCCAGGGCTCATAAGGGGTTGTGCGAGGCTTTTTATGGTGTTGTATGAAGTTTCATAGAGGTTTTTGTGTGGATGTCTTGGAGGGTGCGGAGAGGATATTTTGGGGGGGTGGGTGGGGTTGTACCCAGAGAGCGCAATACACCTTAATTAAGGAATATACCTTAAATTATAAGAGGGCGCATAATGTGATTTAAGGTCTATTCCTTAATTAAGCGGTATTAAACCCCCTAAACCCTAAACCCCATAGATCCCTTAAAGGATCCCTATTAAAGGAGCCCTAGGTACAGTCCTTAACTAAGGGGTATTGGTTAGAAGCTGCCCCCACCCTGTAACAGTGGTATAATCGGAATATAATAGGGCCCTAGTAATCCCTAATATAATCCTTATGGTCACTATTACAGGGTGGGGGCAGCTCCTAAGGTATGATTTAAGGTCTATTCCTTAATTAAGCGGTATTAAACCCCCCTAAACCCTAAACCCCATAGATCCCTTAAAGGATCCCTATTAAAGGAGCCCTAGGTACAGTCCTTAACTAAGGGGTATTGGTTAGAAGCTGCCCCCACCCTGTAATAGTGGTATAATCGGAATATAATAGGGCCCTAGTAATCCCTAATCTAATCCTTATGGTCACTATTACAGGGTGGGGGCCCCTTCTAAAGTATCCCCCTTACAGTCCCGAATATAGTCATGGCCAGGAAATGCCCCAACACCCCGTTTTGGCCCAGGGGCAGCTCCTAAGGTATTGGGCTCTCTGGGCAGAGCTAAGGGCGCATGTCTCGAAGCGCGTGGATAGACGAGGATCCTCCAGTCTCTAGGCTCGAAAAAAAGGTAGGGTCTATAGGCTTTAGGGTTTAGGATTTAGGATTTAAGGGTTTAGGGTTTAGGATTTAAGGGTTTAGGGTTTAGGATTTAAGGGTTTAGGGTTTAGGATTTAAGGGTTTAGGGTTTAGGATT